ACCCCTTTCCACATCCCCCCATCCCATGACCCCTTTCCACATCCCCCCCATTCCATAACCCCTTTCCATATCCCCCCATTCCATCACCTTTTCCACATCCCCCCATTCCATAACCCCTTTCCACATCCCCCCATCCCATGACCCCTTTCCTTATCCCCCCATTCCATCACCTTTTCCACATCCCCCCATTCCATAACCCCTTTCCACATCCCCCCTCATTCCATAACCCCTTTCCATATCCCCCCATTCCACAACTCCTTTCCATATCCCCCCATTCCATAACCCCTTTCCATATCCCCCCCATCCCATGACCCCCTTAATGTTTCCCACCCCATGACCCCCCAAATGCCCCTCCATGTCCCCCCTTCCTCGCCCCCCCCCCCATTTCTGGGGGTCTCACCCTCAGCCTGTGCAGTTTCCCCGTGAGCCCCTCGATGGTGCTCAGGATCAGCTCCACGTCGCTGGGAGGGGTCCTGGGGGGGTCCTGAGCCCCCTCAGCCCCCCGGGGGGGTCCAGGGAGGGCGGGGGGGGGTTGGGAGGGTCCCGTGGGGAGGCTCACGTAGAAATAATTGCCTGGGAAAACGGGGGGGGGGCAACGTTAGACCTGCTGGGGGAGGGTGTTGGTGGCCCCTCCCCAGGTTTTAGTGGCCCCCCCAGGGTGTCAGTGGCCCCTCCCCAGGTTTTAGTGGCCCCCCAGGGTGTCAGTACCCCCCTGAAGGGTGTTGGTGGCCCCCCCGAGGGTCTCAATGGCCTCGCGAGGGGTTTTGGGGGGGGTCTCTTTACCATCCACACAAGCTCCGCCTCCTTCCCGCAGCTCGGGCTCTGATTGGCTGCTGCCTGGTGAGGGCGTGGCCTCCCGAGCCCCCTCCACCTGGGCTGGGACCCCAAAAATTGGGGAGGGGGGGAGGAGAGGGGGGGGTGAGAGGGACCCGCCACCAGCACCCGAAATAGCTCCCGAAATCAGCACCCAAGATCAGCACCCAAAATATCACCCAAAATTAGCACCCAGCACCCAAAATAGCACCCAAAATTAGCACCCAGCACCCGAAATCAGCACCCAAAATTAGCACTCGAAATAGCACCCAAAATAGCGCCCAGCACCCGAAATCAGCACCCAAGATCAGCACCCAGCACCCGAAATGAGCACCCCAAAATAACAGCTCAAAATTAGCACCCGAAATTAGCGTCCCAAAATCAGCACCAGCGTCCCAAAATCATCACCAGCATCCCAAAATCAGCACCCGAGATCAGCACCTCAAAATCAGCGAGGGGCGGGGAGTGAGACCCCCCCAACTGTGTGAGACCCCCCCCATTTCCAGTGAGGGGCAGGGAGTGAGACTCCCAACTGTGAGACCCCTGATCCCAGGAATGGGCAGGGACTGAGACCCCCAATCCCACCAAGGAGCAGGGACTGGGATCCCCAATCCCACCAAGGAGCAGGGTCTGAGACTCCCAATCCCATCAAGGAGCAGGGAATGGGATCCCCAACTGTGAGACCCCTGATCCCAGGAATGGGAAGAGTCTGAGACCCCCAATCCCACCAAGGAGCAGGGACTGGGATCCCCTATCCCACCAAGGAGCAGGGACTGAGACTCCCAATCCCATCAAGGAGCAGGGAATGGGATCCCCAATCCCATAAAGGAGCAGGGACTGGGACTCCCAATCCCATCAAGGAGCAGGGACTGGGACCCCCAATCCCATCAAGGGGCAGGGATTGGGACCCCCAACTGTGAGACCCCTGATCCCAGGAATGGGCAGAGTCTGAGACCCCCAATCCCACCAAGGAGCAGGGAATGAGACCCCCAATCCCACCAAGGAGCAGGGAATGA